TGTTTGTGTTCTTCGTTTGCGGTAAAGGCGGAAGTTGGGCGCTCATTGCTATGTGTTTCAACATTCATGCCTGCTTCACTGGGAGGGTGATAGTTTTAACTATCACTTCAATGCCAAAAATGCTTTTCACTTATTCCCATGTGTAATTCGTTGTTCTAAGCTGACTAGCTGCACCGTTTCTTTTGGTCAGCCATACGCTATAACCTGGAAACCGAGTGGAAGAACACTTTCCCATACATCCGCGAAATGGACCGCGAGGAGTTGTTTGATAAGGGTCGAAATGAGATACTAGATAACCTCGTCAGTCTCAGTGCCATACCCTCTGTGACGTGGGAGAAAAAGATTAAGGAGCGTCTTTGGCAGAAACTCCAGTCATACGTGTTCGAGCACATCTTTGAGCCTGCACAATTAAAGACAAATCTTGGGTAAGTGTCCCTCTGTTGACGGCTCTCCGGTATGGTGTTATTCAAAACTAGACTGTCGGCATACTCATTACTTTTTATTCATAGGTCCTATCAGACTTTTGTAGACGTACTACTCCGCGACTGGTCACAGCATGAGTTGCCTCAGACTTGCGTGCAAGTGGGATGGGAAGTCCTCTATGACGAGCTGGAGCGGGCTGCAAAGGATGCTGAACACTCGCGCGGCTACGATCACATTTTCGACAAACTGAAGAAAGAGGTCATCACGCAGACCCGAAATCGGCATCAATGGGATGGAAAAGCTATCACTCGATTGGTAAGAAAAGGATCACACTTTTGTTCACCCTTAACCTACCAAACATAAAATGAGAAGATGGAGCATTTGCTGATGAATTTAAGAGGATGAGCCTCGGCTCAATGCATTGGCAGCTGTGGATGCACTTTAAATGCAGTCAACTTGGTCTTGACATCCTTCGCTTGTGTGCTACAAGCACATAATTGCCAGAGTCTCCCGTATTCCAAAACGAAACGTAGAAACAGACTATTGCACATTCCCAAACAATCTATTCGCAACCTACATCGAAGGAGTGTGGGTGGGTGTGCAGAGCTGGTTCTGTTCCTACAAACGGAAAGGCACAAGGTCTCAACACACATTGCCAAAGCGTTGTAGGTGCGGGCTTGTCTACATTTTTTGCATTGCTATGGTGGTATTTTACTCAGTGGCTAGAGGTTGACTTTGGCGGTGGGAAATGATATGAGAAAAGGGTATGTAGATTGAAAGTGAGTGGGAGAATAAAAGTTTTGGAACTGTCAGCCTTATGGTACGTTTGGATGCAATTACAAGTTGGCCGTCCTAACGAATAAAAAGCTTCGAGACTTGATCTGTGATCATCTTTTTCTACTTCGAAGTACAATTTTGTAAAATGGACTTACCGTATCTTAGTGATAGAAACTGAGTGATGTAAGATAGCTGACATCAAATATTTAAGTCAATTAGCCCAGTTTTTCACTTGCATTTTTTACAAGTTAGACTACTTGTGAATCTAGAGGGTAATTCAAGGGACAACATTGGACGATCACACGGTGCACACGAAGGTCCAGTGGGACAGCGCTGTGAACTTCCTTGAGGACGCTCTCTACGCTCGCATCAAGGAAGGTAGGTCCGTGCTTCATAGTACGATTGCTACCCACTCCGCGTGCCCCCATGTTGTTTTGTTATTAGACTCGCAAAATCGGAACGAGGTTGTCGGCACTTTTCATCCTATATTTGGAAGCTGTACAAGGTCATTTTGTTTTTAAGTAGACAGATGTAAGTCTTCTGTGATTAGCTTTTAAATCCTGACCTTGGTGTTTGCATTTTCTCAACCTTTTTTATGTACAACCGATGAACCGTCGTAAATGTTTTTTTAACACTATGGCAGTGAATCAGCTTATCTCCGATCTGCGAGGACCGGGGCTACTTTCTCGATGGGTTCATTGGACCAACCAGACGGATGAGCAACGAAAAAGAGTCGCTGCTATCGACGAAATCCTTCCCATCCTTGCCTCGCAACAGGTACTTCACTTCCTTCACACTCATGTGTTTACATTAAGGAATCTCTAGAGCTTCCCCACCTCAGTAAACCTGAATGCTAAACCATTCTCTTTATTTCTCACAAATGTAAGGTTCATCCACCGAAAGATGAAATCCATTCCTGAGACTCTTCTGTCACCCGTTGCCTTTCGCTTAATGCTGTTGTTCTTCCTTTTAGCAACCAAGCATTGAAATGTCCCCTGATGATGTCACCACGGTCCGGCGAAACTTGCAGGCCAAGAAGTTTGCTGTCTCTAACAAATTTGTGAGTTCACTGCCCTTTTGCGATGCACTTTAACTTCTGCTGTTGATTAAAAGCATTCTTTCCTTATGTGATTCCTTTTACCACTTGTTTGACTATTTTGGAATATCTTGAGTATCATTT